TAGTGCTGGGGTCCGCGCGGACCCCAGGTGTACTGTTTAGGGTTAAAAAGCTCAAAATACTGTCCATAAATGACATAAATAAACTACAAACAAGTCTTTTAATGTACAAGATAATGAATAAATGTCCTTGCCTTCCTGAAACCTTCCACGACACCTACACCTTCTTATTAAACTCAGACATCCACAACCACTTTACACGCCAATGCAATTATTTAAGGCCATCCAATGCGAAATCGAATCTTCGTCAATTTACAATCACGTACAGAGGCCCAACAATTTGGTTCCAAAGTTGTTGGGTTTTTTCGACGGCGTTGACGCGTTGAAGTCGTGACAATGGTAGTTAATGTGATGGAGCTATTATTCTATTTAGTATGCGTAGGTTTTGCTAGTTTTGTTGTTTGTTTTTATTCAGTGGCAATCCTAGTGCGTTTATGTGTGAGTACAGTTGTCCGTTTTGACAGGATGGGACGGCGTGAGTTTGTACTGTACATGTATAGGTTGACCCAGCCTATGTTCTGGGTCAATGTCGACGTCGCCAGTGTTTGCAATTGGTTGTCAGGTTGAAACTGTGGGGCACATGTCTTCTTTTTTTTCAGTGTACATGCAGCGACCCTCGGCCAAGAATGGTCATAACGGGGCACACGATGGATGATGAACCTGACATGTCAGCCACCCATCCATCTGGCCAGGGATGTACTTCCCCGGGCACTTTCTCTTCTTCTCTTGCATTAGGGAGCAGACCGTCCACGTCAGGCCACCGCCGGACACACCCTCATCCCCCGAAACAACCAACGTCTGCATCCCCAGCCCTGAGACATCCATTCCCGGTCCTGGGAGAGCTGTGAGGCCAGTCACACCGCCTGAGACCGACGTGACGGCAGTTCCTGGCACAGCCGATGCGACGAAGCCAATGTGAACGTGCTTTTCGATGTCCAGTAGAGGGACGCAAAAGACAATAGAGGATGCATGATCGATACCAAATGTCATAATGTATCAAGACATTAGCCAGAGGACCATCCTTTGACCAAATTGTTTGATTGTCTGGATCCATCATATGTCCTAACTACAAGGACAGAAACGACAAAACATTTGAGCATAAAGAACGACAGTCATTGTAACATTGTAGTAGTTCAATTGTATTGTCACTTATTTTATTACACTGGGCTTCTCCAGTAGCCAGGCTTTGAGACTGGAGAATGATAGACAGTCTATATTGTAATCGAAACTGATTGCTGTTATTTGGTACATCCAGTTATCAAACTAACGAGTACAACGGCCATATAAGATTTGTTCAATGATTCACTGCTATACAATAATCTCTTAAATACAAGGGAGGCATGTATGGTATTTATAGCAGGACATCTGCATAGTTTTTGTACAATATCCAATGATCATATGCAACAGGAGTTCCCTGGCTGTACAGCTGTAATAGATGACCTAGTACAGGTGTCTCCCACTGCAAGGTCAGAGGTCAAGTCTAAAAGTCTTGACCAAAGCAAGTCTCTGTGTCATTCCTCAGTTTGTCACTTCTTAGAGTTAGGTCCTAGGTCAGACAAAAAAAAAGGACTATTCTGTTATGAATGTTAGGCAGGACAGGTTTCAGGATGCTTAATATTCAGATGGACAAAATCACATCCCAAAACTCCATGCCATTACCTCTTACTAACCCTGTACTTGAGGACAATCTGTCGTCCCTAGGCTCAGCCTCGACAAGATCCTCAAGACCACCCTACTAATACCAAAACTCCATGCCATTACCACTTACTAACCCTGTACTTGAGGACAATCTGTCATCCCTAGGCTCAGCCTCGACAAGATCCTCAAGACCACCCTACTAATACCAAAACTCCATGCCATTACCACTTACTAACCCTGTACTTGAGGACAATCTGTCGTCCCTAGGCTCGGCCTCGACAAGATCCTCAAGACCACCCTACTAATACCAAAACTTCATGCCACTTATCCCACCTACTAACCCCTGTACTTGAGGACAATCTGTCGTCCCTAGGCTCAGCCTCGACAAGATCCCCAAGACCACCCTACTAATACCACAGCCTCATCATAAAAAAAAACTTTAAAGTTCCGCCGCATTAGGTCCGCCAAGTTTCCTTCCCGTCATGCTAAGAAAATTACGTCAAGTGATAAACACAATCAGACTCGCCTTTATTACGTCAAAGCCATCGCCTCTATACACTCCTGACAAAATGAACACACAACCAGGTAGAATTAGAGTTACTGCTCTTTCCAAACATACCGCTAGGTGTCGTCCTTACACTGTAACCCGGTGACAGGTCCCACAATGCATCTCACTCACTTTTGACCTGCCCCATTGCATGACGGGAAACAAAATGGCGGCGCCCATAAAATCCAGGTAAAATAGAACAGGTTTTGCTATCGCAAACCTGTAATTACTGATGGATATTTTGGCGGGAAGGGAATGACCCTGAGTACGAGGATTATCCATTATTTGGGAACGAGATTTGGTCTTCTTAGAGCGCAGCGGTACAACAAATCCCCGAAATTAACATTATTGTTTGTTAGTAGAATATTTTCTTCGATTTTCCTTGTCTTTATAAAAATATGCATGCAAAATAAGTAGTCTTTATTTTAAAACACGCTGTTATGTGTCACTAATGGCAATTTTCCAAGAAGTTAACGTTTGCATTAGCATGCGTTCTGAAGTCACATGATCACAACATGGAGAACGTGTCGCTGGAATTTCTTCTTTCATTTCTTTGAATCTCGGTGTCAAGTTTACCGGCCTATTGTGTCCCACAGAGATCACTTACCTACACCCATTGTCTTGAGCCGAATTCAAGAACTCCCCACCGCTCTTTCGATTCTTTGACAGCCACGTGAAAGAAAGAAACAGGTAAGTAAAAACCGGTTTGTCAATCGCATGATCGTATCGTTGACATTTGTTGGACTTGTACTGCTTGAGTCCTTGTCAAAAATTTATGAAACAGTTAACTTATTATATATCCCCAGGAATATTATGTACTGAAAATTTGGGTAAGCCACGTTTTTGTCAGAAAATTATGTCACCAGAAAAGTCTATGTTTTGGGCAAAGATCTACACACTTCCCGGGCCTTTATGTAACGAGAGTGAGATGCATCTTTCTAGTTTATAGAAATTATAGAAGCTGAAGTACTTTCGGTTGTTCGTTTTGCTGTGTTTCCGTTCCTCAATGGAATCCGTGAAAGTTACCTCGTGCTGCCGGTCAGATCGCAGTATGGTTAAATATTAATCAGTTCCACATGGGTAAATATTGCACAGGGGCGAAGACGTAAGGGACAAGCCAAGAAAAACTAAGGGGGGTGGGCGATCGTATTATCGTATTTTGGAAAGGGGCAAAATTGGTGCAAATCTTTCACGAGATATTGATATACACAACTAGAGATCGATCAAAGTTGATATATTTTTTACTAAAATGTAGAGAGTAAACCACACAACATATGGTTACATAAAATATTATTTCAGAATGCTGAGGCTGTTTGACACCCCTCCATAATCAACACTGACTTGTCCCTTTCCATTCTATCTTGAAGGGGGAGGGGATTCAAATCTCCAAAGATTTATCATTTTTCCCCCTAGAGAGTAGAAATATTTTTTTCTAAAAACTTCCATCTGTTGAATTTAAAACAAATCTGGTTATGTTTTATGCTAAATTCAGGAAGGCTGGCAACACTTGATCTTAGATTCAGGCGCCAACTCCCAAGGAATTGTGGGAAATTGATTTAAAGTAACTTGACTACATGTCTTATAAGAAAAGGCATCAAGACAAACTATATTCAGCATCAAAGTGTAGAAATTGGCCAAATATACAGATAACATGCCAGGGGAATTAGTCCGCAAAACTCTACTCTTTTGCGGACCAACTACCTTGGCATGGCAAATTTCTACTCTTTCCAGCCACTTCCAGAAGCCTGGTAGAGGCTAGGAATCGTCCTACGTGGTCACATGCATGTACAAGTTAGCCCCCAGGCAGTGTCACATTGAATTATTTGGTAACCAAAAACATCTGATGTGGAGTCGTCACCCTCACCATGGTTACATTACCATGGTTACCAGCATTCATGCCAAGCTAAGCAATAGAGGTCATTCACCCCAGAGGGAGAAACCATTTCTAGGGGGTCAAGGGGTATGCTCTACAAGAACATGTTAGAATTTCTTACCCACATTTTTTGCTGTATTGTGTACATTGTATACAGCTTGGGGTTAAGTTTTCCAGATAAGGCCACACCAATTTAATTTGTTGTTTCTCAGATTTTTTCAGAGAAATATGAAGCGACAGGGTGGAAAAAAAACAGGTCTAGATATCCTATTATAGTCCCAAATGCTACGATAGTAGCAATGAAGTCAACACAAAAGGCTGAGTCAATATTTAAACAATGAATTTTGAACTTTTTGAACTTTTAATCAAACCACTGCATTGATAGATGGAAAAACTTAACAACTAGGAATAAAAGGACTTTCCTCAACTGTTGGGGGCAAAATATGACTATATTTGAGTTGATTCAGAACCAGAATCTTTTTTTTTTGGCAAATCAGAAAAAATTGAATCCGACCACTAACAAATTAAGTTGGTGTGGCCTAATGTTGTCATTGTGACAAAGATATCTTGGACACCCCTATTGGACACCCCTACATGAAAACGTCCACCACTGAAAAAGGAAGCAGAAAGACCCAAAGCGATTACTGATGGTTATACCATTGAGTGGCACCCTGCCAAGTTTAACGCACTTCAACTTGATCTTGAAACCCAAAGTCCATTTCACACCCATTATAGGGACAAACAACTCACCGAGGAAAGCTATTATTCATCATTCAATTGTTCAGGATTTACATTAATACTATAGGAAGTACGTTAATACTATAGGAAGTACATTAATACTATAGGAAGTAAATTAATACTGGAAGTACAGTAATACTTTCTAGCTTGTGACATCTGTGTATGATGCATTTCCTGTAGAATAAAGTCTTTGCCAAAGTGTTGTTCATAATAATTGGCCAGAAGTTGTCCAGGCTAGAACATCAGAGGTTGCGGTAAAAGATTGTAAGTACATTGTAATAGTAAGTTAGTACATTAATACTTTCTAACTTGTGACGTCTGTATATGATGCGTTTCCTGTTGAATAAACTATTTGCCAAAGTGTTGTTCGTAACAATTGGCCAGAACTGGTCCAGGTTAGAACATCAGACTTTGCAGTAAAAGATACGTCAGCTTGTATTGAAAAGATACTTCAGCTTGTAAGTACATTGTAATAGTATGTTAACATCCGTGTCCATAATATCACCAGGGTCCATAATATCGCCACCTTGAGAAATAGTGTGCTTTAAGATATTTTTACTGCAACATACTTTTGGTATGCACTCCTTCACACATCAAATGTACATACCTACGGTATGTTGCAGTGAAAATATCTTAAAGCACACTTTTTCTCAAAGTGGCGATATTATGGACCCTGGTGATATTATGGACACAGATGTTATATGTGTATATATCATAATATTACAGTTTGCCCAGTGTATATTACCGGTAACAAGAGTAGGAAAGCACAGATTGAAACTGGATGTATCTTGTATTAATGTCATTTGTACATGGTATTCTTTTAATCACTAATATCAGGGTTAAAAATTTTCTTGGGGTTATGAATGCCCATCATTTTTATTTCAGTTTCATCTCTTTTCACCAGTGCAATGGCAAGCGATTTGCCTTGCATACAGTGTGTGGCCCAAGGGCTAGCAAACTGGAGATGGGCGCCACCCTATTCACTTAAACTGTCCCTGTCCTTCAGTTTCATTTTTTTTGCAAATCCAGGAAAAATTTGAAAATGATATAATCCTGTATCATCCGGCACCATAATCCTGATTGACACTCTGGCTTTGTAATCTTCTTATTTTCACTTCTTTATCCACCAGAGGAATATGGTAAAAGACTGTGTTGCCATAGTAACTGTTGATATCTGGTTACCATAGTAACTGTTGATAAATGTTGCTAGGGTAACTTTGTTTTTGACCCCTTTCATTGATTGAGCTACAGAGATTTTGTTTCCTTTTCTGCAATTCTTTTTGTATATGGCCATGCCAATTTAATTTGTTGGTTTTTGGATTTGCCTTTTAATTTTTTTTCTGATTTGCAAAGAAAAAATATATATATTCATGGTTCTGAATCAACTCAAAAATGGTCATATTTTGCCGCCCAACAGTTGAGAAAAGTCCTTTTCTTCCTAGTTGTTACAATTTTTTTATCTATCAATGCGGTGGTTTGATTAAAAGTTCAAAATTCATTGTTTAAATATTGACCCAGCCTTTTATGTTGACTGGCTCCTATCGTAGCATTTGGAGCTGTCATAGGATGCCTAGACCTGTTTTTGTTTTTTTAATTTTTCGCCCTGTCGCTTCATATTTTTTTATGAAAAAATCCGAGAACCAACAAATTTAATTTGGTGTGGACTAACATCTTTCAAAAGAAGTCTTGCCAGTATAAAAAATACCAGTATCATCATATTCATATTGAGTGCAGATACTAATGTATGTATTCTCTTTTGTTTGTTTTTTTTATAAAAAGTTTGTTACAGCAAAACCTGTTTCAAGGAATTTAGGAAAAACAGACAGTGCAGACCCTGACATGCGTGAACTCTAGTTGAAGTGCTATACTGACATATTTATAGCTTGTTTGTCACAAAAACTGAGTGATGAGGACAGCGTTATTTATAGACATTCTGTACGTCAATGAGATCTCTTTACAGAGAGTGTAGGGCTCGAAATACACTGATAGGAATATGTACCTCTAGCCTAGCCTAAAGCACAGAAAAAAAATTGAATGCACAACATAAAATGATTAATTTATATTTGTGTCAGCAAATCCCAATTACAAATATTATAATTACTTCCTCTCTTCAGAACTTGAATATGAAATTCTGGCTAACTATTAAACAAGCAGTGGAACAAAAGTTTATTATTCTTTTGGCACTCAATATTGTCAAGAATATGCTGCATAGAATTATTATATTGTACAATATGGTAGTACCTTTATTTACATAATGTCTAGTAGGTGAACCAGTGCATCCATGAATAAAAATCTGGTGATCAGTTCAAATTTTAAGTGCACAAAAGCACTAAGTATTTTGAGCCCTGAGACCTACTGTACACACATGTATGTCATTGAGATTTCTTTATAGAGATGCGTGGTGATCCCACAAAAGGTGTTACGGTATTGCCTCCGTACCTTATACCACAAAATCAGCTGTTATCATCACATGACTGTCCGACCGTAACTTAGTCCTAATTTGCATAGTAACCGTCACCCATATCATGACAATATCAACTGATCGCGTCAAGTGTCTTTTGTGTAATTAGCGTGCAGGCATTCTTGCGGACAAGAAACGACGTGAACACGGTTTAATTTCACTCCCTTCTGTTGTGCATGACAAAGGACGGTCACTGGAACGAAAGCGAAAATGGCACTTGAACAAGTCTCGGAGTTTCTGAACCAGATGACAGAAGGTAGGAAGAGTTGGGAAAAAATGTTGGCTTGTTGCTGGTTTGCTTCTCTTCTGTTCTGTGTTGGCTTTGGGTTGAGCTGTGGCCTTAACAGTGCCAGAAGTTTGTGGGAATGGGATAATTACTAATTATCTACCCTCAAAGTCAATAGCTTTAACTATTATTGTTATATTGTTATTATTGTAGTAACCCAATCTATGTTATGCATCCTACACTATCTACATAATTCTTTTGCTTGCTTTTGTTCCATGTGCATGTTTCCATATCATAATATTTTTGTAATCTATTGTGTCTATAACCTTTTATGAAGTATTGTTTCTATGACATTTTTATGACATACATTTATTGTTGTATGGTGATGTATGGCTAAACCTGCCATTTGCATTCAAAATATTCAAACTAACCTGCTGAGTTTTTAGTACAATTTTGACTCTATTTCCAATGTTGCATGTTTCTCTTAGCATGTTTTCATGTTATCATATATTGTCATTGCCATTGTATACAGTACACTTTATATACAATGTATGTATATTTTGATAACATGTAAAATGTTTTTTTTAATCAATATTGACATTTACTGCCATTTCTGAGCATGTTTTCGTCATTATTTCAAACTTAAAGTATACTCAAAATATATAGCGTCAAAACAAGCTACATGAGGAGCCCCTTTATTTTTGGGTACCTCCAATAAATACAAGAACCAGGATACGATAGGAAGCAAGCAACGAAATTCTGTCAAACGAAGGAAAGACGGAGTTGGCTACAATACTGAGTCACGTAATATCGGCCACATTTTAACACAATTGACCCTCTGTCTAGACATATTGTGCAAACAATTTTACTGATGAGATATTACTTTAAACTTAACACACTTAGGCCACGGCAAGTAAATTTTATGGATAACATCCTCCGCAGACTCCAAATCTAATGCGAGCGGGCGAAAAAAAAACAAGGCGGGCCGAAAAAAAACAAGGTTCCTTCAATTAAAAATTTTGACTCAATTATTGTACAAATGGTTTTGATTCAGTGGGAACATCACATATACACAGCCAGCATCACATATCACTGCATCAAAGTAAGAAACAAAACATTAAATCAGAGCCTTTTCTTGTCTCCTCTCTTCATAGTTATCTGCAATCCACCTTCCGGCATGGCAACAGACATCTTTGCCCATTTTCGGCATATTGACCACTGTCAAAAGGCAACAAAATTTCTTCCTTTTTTTTCCCCAAATCAGGCGAAAATTAATGCGTGCATGATGTTATCCATAAAAATTATTTGCTGTGGCCTTAGGTAATTCATGCAAATATATACCTGGTTAGTGGTCACGTAATGTTGTCCACACTTTAAGGCCATTCACCCCAATGTCTAGACAGAGGTGTAGACGTCTGTTCTGTCTTTTATTTAGAAAACCAGCTGTGTAAAGGATTCAAGGTCATTTCACAACTGTCTTTTGTTCACCTTCGCAGCAAGGTCACGTTTAAATCGTAAACAACAATTTGTTATGTTGAGTAAATCCATATTTTTGTTGATCTGATATTTCAACCTCTAATAATAATTGAGAAGAGTTCAATTCAACTCTTACATATTGTTTTATACATCATCTCTACTTTATTTTACTGCTTAAAAGTATATTTGAGTTAGTAGATACCTCAGTTGCTTAGCATAGTTTAAATGGCTGATACAGTCACGCCCCCTTGTAGGTACTGTAATTCATGATTTTTTTGCAGTAGTTTAATGTTTGCAGTTTTCGCGGTCACTTCTGTGCCGCAAACTTATCATTACCATTATTAAATAATTCGCAGAATTTTTTTTCTGCACCTTCTGCCACTGTGAACATATAGTTCTGCGAACATGTCCATTTTTCTCAGACTGTGAACTTTTGCTTCCGCGAACATAAAGTGAACTACAATATGTCTGTTGTACCTGGTCTGACAATATTTAACCTGGAGCCAAGGTGAGCAACAAGTTTGCTCGGAGTGTGTGATTGGCTGTTGTTCTATGGACCCACCCATTAATGACCTGGGGCAGTGTTACGGGGGTGTGTAAAACCGGTTTGTGGGGTCCAGAGGTCGCATTACCTGAGTTTGTAGACACGGCGTGTGGCTTGCTGTTTTGGGGCGTGTTCCCTGTAAGTATTGAACAGTTTGTACCTGGCACTTTCTTCGTCATTTCCTACTTGATATAGTAGAATAATTTTGTTATTTTTCCATCTCTTTCGGCTAGGGTTCAAATACAAATTCAAAGGCTGTCATGCCTTCATTTTAAGGGACGAGAATATTGGAAAGTGGTAAACATATATACTACATGTATTAGGCCAATATGCATTTTAATTTTTCAAACTTTCATGTACTAGTATGGTATCGGCATAGTGATTTTTAAGGTGTTGTACTGAATGATTTTTAGCTGGATCCTGGTTACAATGTGTGGATGTATTGATGTTGGTGACGTGTGATTATTGACCTGTATGTAAGAAAGCAGTTCCTTCTAAGGACTTGTTGAAACAGGTTAGTACAGGTAAAATTGGAGCTATGCAGGTATTTCTGATGTCTACCTGCACCTAACCTGCACTGGTCCATGTACTGGGTATATGCAGGTTAGTGCAGGTAAAATTGGAGCTGTGCAGGTATTTCTGATGTCTACCTGCACCTAACCTGCACTGGTCCATGTACTGGGTATATGCAGGTTAGTGCAGGTAAAATTGGAGCAGTGCGGGTGAATTCATAGCTTCTTGTTGGGAATAGTGTTACTGTAAGTGTCAATGTACACAAGAAGACCCTGGTGAGAAAAATAGTGTTGTTTTAACTTTAGGAGGGTTAAGCTAAAAAGACAACATCGTTTGAGTCTCATGTTTGAATTAACCAAAGCGACTTCAATTACTTGTAAGTCCGAAGATTTAATCGCTTTCCTGTTGACAATAACAAGATACCGTTAAAAACAATTGGACAAAATATTCCACAGAATTGAAGAAATGTGGTAAGCAAAGAAATCAGAAATTATAGAGAAAATTGATTTAAACTTAAAAAAACATAAAAATGATACCAACGGTACTATTTTCTTTCTGGTTACGTTACAGAAGCAATGTTATGTTGGTTGAACTCTTTTGACGTATTACATGGTAGCTAGGAACATATGAAGTCCACTCATTAAACCAAATAAAGTTTGCTAGACTTTGAACGGGTAGGGCATTCTTGATAGTTCTTCCCATTATGATCCTTTGGTCAGGCTATAGATACAAAGTACAAAGTCTAAAGATCAGTTCTTTTAAACTCCCACAAAGTGGTTCATGGCCATACGTACATGTACATAGTTTTGGGAACAGGAACAACAACCTGAATCAGGCCAGGTCCAGGTTGGTGAGTAAGGAACCTTGACTACAGGTTCCCTCTTGTCCTGTCCTGACAGCACTATGGAACATTCTACTTCTAGATACTGATATTGATAAGAGAGAGAGAGACTGGTTTATTTGTACCATACAAGTACACAAAAAAGCCTGTAAGCAGCCTTATTTGGCTGAATTGGGAAGGCTTTAAACACAACACAAAATGCGCTCATAGATTAGCTATTTGATAAAAACTTATTCGTCACATATCTAGTTTACATTGAAAATTACCACGCATCAAAAATACAAAAATGCAATATAAAAACAGTTGATTCAATGTTTCCTTGAAGTTAAAATTACAGAAATAATCTAAAGTTATAATATGCAGGGTTGTATATTGTGAAACTGATGAAGTGAATCATTTTTCACCATTCAAAAGCTTAACACAGTACGGCAGAGTAGTGTTCAAGAATTGTGACGTTCTGCACCTAAACTGGCTTATATTATGTTGTGCGAATTTCTGAGGTTTCTGCCATGTACATCAACCCGGCGTGAGGGTAGCCAAGAGACAAAGTCAGACTTAACTAATGATTTGGCAAACTTAAAACAGTGAGCTCTGCGTCGCTCATCTAGAGATATATGTTGTGATTAAACAATCCTAGTACGTTTTCTGTCTTGTGCCTCAAGGCTTTCATATCAAAGTGAAAACATGCTTGCTAGGAAGCTTTTCCTGAGTTACATCAGGCCACACCAAGTAAATTTTATGGATGATGTCCTTTGGAGACCCTAAATCTAATGCGAGAGGGCGAAAAAAAAACAAGAAGGGCCCTAAAAAACAAGATGCCTAGATTAGAAATATACTAAGAGACGACAAATGTTAAGACAGAAATTGAATGAGGTGACACAGTGTAACAAGCAAGAAGTCTTTTATTCATCATCAAAACAGGTGGAACAGCAGTTGTCGTCCTGTCCTGTTTTCGTGTTACGGGTTTCACGTCAATCTGACGATTTGCGGCACTGTCGTGACTCTTTGGTCATAGTTACAGGAAGCGGAATTTCTTGTGTTTTTTTCTAGGAACAGGCCAAAATCAATGCGCGCGTGGACGTCATCCATAAAATTTAGTTGGTGTGGCCTCATCAAGAAAAACATGTTTTTTGTTTTCTTCGACAAAGTCAAAGTCCATTCTGGTAAGGGCAAAGTACAAGGCTCTTCAGCTGGCTTTGTCCTGGTATATTTATAGGCTTGTTTTTCACCGTGTACATGTGATTTATTCTTCGTTTGTCATGGAACAGACGTCTCTATTTGACTGCAGTGAAAGGGGCAAACAAATCGACAACAAATGTTGTTACAGAGAATCGTACAATGTGCTTTCCCACATACATAGTACATGTATTGAGATAGTATCACTAACTACTGTAGAGGGTTGCAGGACAGGCCGTTAGGCCACACCAATTTAATTTGTTGTTTCTCGGATTTTTTAGGAAAAACTATGAAGCGACAGGGCGAAAAAAAACAGGGCAAGGAACCCCGTGATAGCCAGAAATGTTACGATGTGAGCCCTGAAGTCAACATACCAGGCTGGTTTATTATTAAAACAATAGATTTTGAACTTTGAATGAAACAAAGTTACATTGTAAGAACTTTAACAACCAGGAAGAAAAGAACTTTCTTCAACCGTTGGGGCCAAAATATGTCTGTCATTGAGCATTATTTTTGCAGTTGAGCTAGAACCTAAAAAAATATTATTTTTTTGCAAATCAGAAAAAAATGGACAGGGTGAATCCGCGAAACAACAAATTAAATTGGTGTGGCCTTAAGGTCATTGTTCATTGTACTTGTTGAAAAGAGCCAGGGGGAATTTTCACAGTACAATGAACCTGTAAATACTGTATATATACATAGCTTCTCTGTCACGACTAGAGAAGGTCTCGGACCAGAATTTTTTCACGATTTTGGATCCGGCAGACACCCTCAGACCGAAGGGCTACAACTTCGCCAAGAAAAGTACGCCGGGAAATCTCATTATATCAGTCAACGGAGGTTTCCAGCCAGCTTCCGATAGAATTTGGTTATTGCCTGTTGACTCTATAATTTGGGTAGAAACTGTAGATAAACGTAAATTTTGGATATGAAAAATAGTTTTTTTTTTAAATTTTTTTCAATGGACTTGCCTGGAAAAAATTAATTTTCCCAGGCGAACGACTTATATGCTGAAATAGCTTACTACTTCCTGTTTCTGAAAAACGGAAAATAAAATAGCTTGTTGCGTGACAACCTTGCAGATCTGGCGATTTACTGCACACTACTAGTATTTGGAACCCTGGTCAGATTTAAACTCCGACCTGGAACCAGAAGATTAGCTCTTCAGTGGGGTAAATCTGGATCAAGATCACTAAAATTCCCTTTTTTCCTTTTTCTCCAGACATGAGCGAGCTGACCAGGTATCTAGGTGACAACCAGAGGGCGTTAGGCCTGGGTATCGGTGCTGCCATCGGCGCGGCGACTCTGGGATATTATATGCTGTCCTCCCCTCGATCACTAATGGAAGCACCCATAGACCTCAGCAGGCAGTCAGTAGAAGTTCCGGTAAGGCAACCTACACCTAGGAAAAAAATAATGTGTGTCTGAATTTCTGAAATGTTATTTAACGGATTTTCATAAGCATTTTTTTCCTATGTTCACAGTTTTCACGGTCACTTCTGTACTGCAAACTTATCATTACCATTAATAAATAATTTGCCGACTTTCTTTTATTCTGTGCCTTCCGCCACTGTCAACATATAGTTCTGTAAACATCTCCATTTTTCTCAGACTGCGAACTTTTGCTACTGTTAACATACAGTGAATTACAGTGTATATCTCAATGATTCTACATTGAAACCCATTGAAACTTTTAAAAGTAGTTTATAAGGAAATGCTAGAATATCTTTCTTTGTTAAGTCATGACTGCCATTGAATGAAGAATATAATCAACTGATAAAATTCATTCAAACAAGGATCATATTTTCATAATCAATGACAGGCCTCGACATTAAATTTTTTTCCTATTGTCCCGGCACTGTCCTGAAAATAAATTTCAATTGTCCCGAAGTGATGATGAACTGTCCCAATCTGTTTTTCAGGAAGTGAACTTGAAGTCAGCTTTATTTTGCTTACGTTCTGCGCGTTATAATTGTAGAGGAAACGGGAAATTTTGGGGAGCTTTTCCGAAGCCAAAGGAAAGAAGGGCTGACATTCTGATGTTGATTATTTTTCTATTGTCCAAAATTTGTCTTTTTAGTTGTTCCAGCTTAAATTTTAGTGGTCACTGGCCGTCGGGACACAATTAGTTTCGAGCCCTGCTATGAGACACATTATAATTCGTTGAATGTTTTTGCAGGGAGGGGAGTATGCCAGGATATCTGTACTGTGTAAAGATGGGAAGCTGGAAGAGACATTGTGTGGCGATGTGAACACATTATACGAGTGCTTCCAGAGGGGATTGAAGGTGTCCAGTAAGTATGAGTTTATTTGAAACTACCTGTTCATTAGTGAATGTGAGCAACTAGGGCAATGGAAAACAGGATACCTTTCATCTGGCAATGTCTGCAATTTCATGGAGAAAGAAACAGATTATTCATAGGGTTGGTGGAAAAAACGGTCCAGTCTGGACCGGTTAGGGGGGTGGAAAAAGTGGTCCGGCAATGTCACATGTAGTTGCGCCCCCTGGCAGAAAGTGATAGAACTGCATGTAGTCTGGTACCACACTGATTTTTAAGTCAATTTCAGCAACTTTGGGACATGTGAAAAACCTTTAAAGCAATCTGTCGACCTTGATGGACAAGATTAACAAAAAAACTTGGATAAGATTTACTACCCTGAAATTGTCTTGGATTTGTTGTTTTCCAGACAATGGTCCTTGCCTTGGATGGAGGACCAGCCCTACAGGTCCCTATGAGTGGATTACATACGGTGATGTGAGTTAAGGTTTTGTTGTTGTTATAATCATACATTGGAAAACTTTATATAACAGATCTTTTTTAACCATGTAATTAGACATGTATATTATGACATTATGTTTATCATCTAAATTTTGTATATAAGGCAAAAGGAAGCATTAGTTTTCTTCTTTTCCCCAAAAACCCTTTCAAAAGGTGCTACACAATTATTTCTTTAAGGAATGATGTGATATGTGAGTGACCTGGTATTTTTCCTACAGGCTTTCAAAATTATTTTCTCAAAAGTGTATATTTCTGCCACCAAGCTGCTGTACATTTGTATTTTAGCTATTTTTTAATCTTGCAGTATTGTACAAAGCTGATGATGATAAATTCTATGTTGTTTGACTTGTAGGTTGCAGAGAGAGCACGTAATTTTGGCTCCGGACTGATAGCCAGAGGTCTGCAGCCCAACCCGGAGACTTTCCTGGGGATTTTCTCCCAGAACAGGGTGGAGGTACGATGAACTTCAATGTCACTCATTTGTACTTGTCTCATTTACCTCCGTGAAAAATGGACTGTTTTTGGTATGTGTGTGTGTCTCTGTGCGTGTGTGAACTGTGTGTGTGTGTGTGTGTGTGTGTGTGTCCCATCTGTCTATATATCTCTATCTGCCTATCTATCTAAATGTATTTTAGATAGATAATATGTAGTATTTTATTTATCTATCTGACTCAGGGAGTGAGTGAGTGAGTGAGTGAGTGAGTGAGTGAGTGAGAGAGTGAGTGAGTGAGTGAGTGAGTGAGTGAGTGAGTGAGTGAGTGAGTGAGTGAGTGAGTGAGTGAGTGAGTGAGTGAGTGAGTGAGTGAGTGAGTGAGTGTGTGAGTGAGTGAGTGAGGGAGCGAGTTAGTGAGCACTTGTACTACTAGATAGGTACATGTAGATAAATAGATACATGTAGATAGAGATAGATAGATAGATACTAGATAGATGGATAGATAGATAGATAGATGGATAAATGAGAGACAAATGAGTGAGTCACACACATCTATTTCAGAAAATATTACTTATTACTTATTACTTATTTTGTCTTTATTCCATATTTGAAGTTAGCAAATTATGATTGATTGAGAAGAGAGTGATTCCGAGAGTTTTTCTGTTGCCTGTTGTTCCAGTGGACAGTGACAGAGCAGGCCTGTAACATGTACAACATGGTGGTGGTACCTCTGTATGACACCCTGGGACCACAGGCTATTACATTCATTGTCAACCAAGGTATGTCATGGAACAATTATATTTAGGCCATGTTGATTTGATTATATGTATGACATCCTCTGGGAACCCCAAAACTGATGTGAGGGTGTGAATAAAAAGTTTGCTAATTTTGTTGGTACTTTGTATGACTTACAGTATAGTCAAAAACTTTCTTGAGAAATGGACCAAAATTCATGCATGTATATAAGCAAGTCAACATGGCCTTACATGTACATGAAGATCTTTTTGCAAGTGGGAAAGGTTAAGTTCATACTTTGGATATATCTCCTAATTATACTGTCAAAGTACAAACAACATTGATTTTTGATTTATATTTCATCTCTCTTCAGCAAAACTGAGCACCATCGTGTGTGATAAGTCAGAGAAGGCCGTCAAGTTGTTGCAGAGTGAAGGAATTTCGTGCATCAAGTGTATCATGGTCGTGGAGGCCATCTCTGAGGATGCACGGAAGATGGCTGAAGAGTGCCATGTTGAAATAGTGCCTTTTTCTGATGTAGAGGTAAGTTTGTGGGTCCAAGACCAGGGTTCTAGCCAGCGCCCGTTTTTCCGTCAATTCGCAATTTGCAGTGTGTTTTTTCTAACCAATCTGTCAACCTTGACAGAAGCAACAAAAGTATTAGGTAAAAATATTAAAAGTTTTGTGCACTTTTGAAATGATTATAGAATTTTCCATACATTTTACATTGTACTATAATATTCTTCATAATGTCCATTTTGGTTTGCAGGAACAAGGAAAACAAAACCCACAAGAAGCTGTGGTGAGTAGTTATTGAGTGTTCTGGCGCCTTTTTTCTTGAAATTGGCATTTTTATCACATTACAGCACATTATTACTGCATGCGACCAACTTTTTAAACAATGCCATCTTACAAGTTGTTTAAACATTCTACTTCTTACTTTTGTCACCATTTCCCAGCCTCCCAAACCAGATGATCTCTGCACAATTTGTTACACCAGTGGAACAACAGGTCAGTTTTCCTCATTGGGCTCGAAATCTACTCTCCAAGCAGAGATTTGGGTTTGGGGTTATTTTTGGCGTGTTTTTAGCCGTTTTTTCGGGGTTTCTCTTTTGCACTGAATTTTTTCCCACCCAACCTCTGCCAGCACTCACCCCGGGGCGGGGCAAACCTATCCAAGAAACGTGACAGTGCTCCCTCCTCCCCGGGAACCATCAAATTATCATCAGGGATATCCATTTTACTGTGGTGGATTATCACACATCTAGCCAGTCAGAAAGGCATTCATCCGGCCACATGCCTCCTGCTGACTGTGCCTATTCATGCATCTGGTTCACACCTCCTTGCAGAATGACTGTCATGTTTTGAAGTGATTAGGTTTATACTTTATTATAGCACATTGAAGATTTCGACTACCGGCAGAGGTTGGGTTGGGTGAGAAAAAATTCCAGTGCAAAAGGGAAACCCTGATAAAAAAGCCTAAAAACACACCAAAAACAACCCCAAACCCAAACCTCTGCTTGGAGAGTACTCGGAATCCTTTTTTCTGCATACCTGCACTGGTGTAGGTACATGTAACATTGAAAATCACCTGCACCAGACAAATTTTACCACTCAGAATTTAGGAATCCTTCATTACACTTAGTCTAAAAGCAACTTTAATAAGTTGTAATAAGTTTTATTCCTCCACTAACTGGTAAGTCTTGATTTAATTATTTTAGTCATAATTATTTCACTGATCCAACTTAATTCTTATAATTCTTACGTCTATACTTGTATGTGAATCTGTAGTTAAATGTGTATACCAGTTTCTGTATTTTTTAATGAAACCTGGATGCTTAGCCCCATAAAGGGGCTAAAGGGTATCTTAAAGGATGAAACTTTATTTGCAAAATCATGCCCGAAGGCTAATTGCTTTTACAATCAGGTATAATACTCATTGCAATACAGTAACAGGAGACAGGTGACAACTGTCTGGAAAAAACTTCTACTTCTACTACTACACTAGCTATTATGGGGTTCGACTTCTTCTTTGAAGGCAGTGGATAATGATCATTCATTCGGTATCTTAAATAACCATAACCTAAAACTTACCATAACTTAGAACTTAAGATGTGTATTTTCCATACAGGGAACCCCAAAGGTGCAATGCTGTCACACAAGAACATTGTGGCAGGATGTGCAGGTGTAGCTGTGACTTTTGAGGTGTGTATTTAATTAACTTGGAAATAGATCTTCATCCAGGAATTCATTTCTTGGATTCTTCACCATTGGAACTGGCCTTTGGTATTGAGGCGACACCTAGCAGGTTGGTACAGAACAACAGGCTTGGTGATCACTAGTACTGCGTGCAGGATTGCAGATGGTAGTGTCAGTGTTCTCTCTGCACTTTCTGTGAGCCATTGGAAGTAATTTTATAACATACATCAGTTGAGGAGTGTTCAGTTTTATCTGATGTTATCAATTTTAACTTACATGTGTTGTACTTGTGTAGAATTTCTTAGACTTTTGTGCATGTACATACCTGTACTCATCCACATGTATGACATCACTGAACCCTGTGCACTGGAATCTATAATGTCACTTAGATTGCGCCAAAATCAGTTACTCAAGCATTTGGATAATTATAACTTATAAGGAGAAATGCAGGTTTAAACATGTACATGTAGCTGAAACGTCTGACTGTTTCCAAAATCATATCCAGTTGCTTGAGTAACTGTTTTTGGCGTATCTTATTACCTGGATGTCTAACCTTCATCAACATGACTTAGATATTACTATGTAGAAGTTGGCATCCATGCAATTATGTATGTTTTCTGTTTCCATATGTTAACTACATTGTATTTACAATATGAACATAATTAAAAAAAAGAATTAAGAATTAAGGCCCTACTACATGTAGATACATGTACATGTACATGTATGTGTATTTGACTATTTGCAATCTTGAGTGCACATTTAAGACATATGTTCATTAAGACTCTTTTATTAAACTTGCAGCAAAAGTTCACCATGACTTCTGAAGATGTACACATCTCCTATCTTCCCCTGGCACATATATTTGAGAAACTTGTGCAGGTAGGTTTATAACCTTGCTATTTTTAAGAAAAAAATGTCCTTTGAGCTGACCACAAGGTGTTAGATATGATTTTATTTTTTAGATTCAAGCTTTTCATATCATATTTGGATCATAGCTAAATCCGTTCAATCCATTCCTATATACATCACCTGACCTTATTTTTTCTGTCTACATGTACTTAGGCCACACCAATTTAATTTCTTGGTTAATGGATTTTTCTAGAAAAATAAAATGGAGCAGGCGAGCAAAAAAAATACATTGTAATATAAACAGGCCTAGGCATCCTATTACGGCCCAAAATGGTACGATTAGGAGCCATGAAGTCAACACACCAGGCTGGTTAAAAATTAAACAATGAATTTTGAACTTGTAATGATACCACTGCATTGAAAGTTGGAATAATTGTAACAACTAGGAAAAAAAGGACTATTTCCAACTGTTCAGGGCAAAATATGAGCATTTTGCAGTTGATTCTGAATTTTTTTTTCAAATCAGAAAAAAATGAAGCGGGTGAATCCGTTAAGGGACCCTACGGTATTTACCGGGGGGGAGGGCCGGTGCGTACGGGGGGAGGGCCAAGGAAAAATGAGAAGGGGCGGGGGAGGCCAAGGAAAATAAGAGAAGGCGGGGGAGGGCCAAGGAAAACTTTTTATCACAATTCTTATACCTTTTCAATGCTTTGAGAAGTAGGTAAGTACACGCTATATGTCCTTGGCACCCCGTCACGGAACCGAAAATGCGTGTGCGCATTCGCCCGGAATTGGTCGCCCCCGAGTATGATTGGTTTCTTCCATATCTCCCATAACTCTGTTTGCCAAAATTGGCGTCGTCGGAAAAGATGTCGGTACAAAATCCCCGACATTTTCGTTCAGCCAAAAACGCAGCAACCTTCGTGAGCGTAGCAAAGTAGAGTCTTATTTGGTCTGAATACTGCCTATCGAGAACAACGCCGACCCAACAAACCGCCAGGTATTTTAAAAGCCAATCCCCGTCCGCGCAAATTTGCCCCATTTCCTTGGCCCGGCGGGCACGCTCAAGAGCCGGGAGCTTCCCACGGAATATTTCACTTCGTCGCGTGCCGCACTTAAATATCATATCAAACTATTAATAAATTATTATTGATTGTTGATAGTATTAATTAGGATGTAGTTTCAGGGGCATTTGCATGCCGGACGAACCCCCCCTCAAGGCTCAAAGGTCCACTTTTTGGTCCACTTTTTATGTAAAGGTCCACTTTTTGGTCCACTTTTTATGTAAAGGTCCAAGATTTTTCTTGAAAAGATGGACTGGAATCGTAGAAAAACTGCTCCCTTTGTCATTGAATAAAAATTTATCTCAGATTTTTTCTTGGAAACCCTCTCAAAAATGCACGAAATGCCATTTTAGAAGGTTAATTTTTCAAAATTTTCCGGGGGAGCATGCCCCCGGACCCCCCTAGGAACACCGGTCTAGGAACCTCGCGCCTTCGGCGCTCGCCTCGCGCCTACGTCGCTCGAGGTCCCCTCAAGCAGTGGGAAGAACCCTCCATTCAAAATCCTGGCTACGGGCATCATTTGTAATGTTTCAGAAAGGGGGGAGGGCCAAGGAAAGTTTTCTTATAGCGGGGGGAGGGCCAGGGAAAAAAAATAAATATGGGGGGAGGGCCAGGGAAAACCTTTTCTGCCCGATTTCCTACGCACCGGCCCTCCCCCCCGATAAATAACGTACGGTCCCTAACCAAGAAATTAAATTGGTGTGACCCTATGTTTGTATGTTTGTAATGATAATGTTGTACATAGTACATCTATATCCGGTATGTCAGAAATAATTTTAAAAAGACACTTTCTTTTCTGTCTACAGTGTTACCTGTTCTGCAATGGAGCGAGAATTGGTTTCTTCCAAGGTGATGTGAGGAAACTGACTGATGACATCAAAGAGCTCCGTCCCACCATCTTCGCCACAGTGCCGAGGCTTCTGAACAGAATATATGACACGGTCAGCTATAATTTAACAATTTATACATTACAAGCATGTCGGCAGAACGTACTGCGCCTGCGTGAAACCCCTATTTTTCATTGTTTTTGTTAGATTTTGGGTCAGGGTTTTCCTGTTACAGACAATATCTTTTTCGATACAACATTTTTTTCAAAATACAGACAGAGTGTTAATCTTATATGCGCAAATGCGACCTTATATGAGACGTTCTGCCGAAGCCCTATGCACAATACATTATGGCTTTTGCTCAGGTGCAGTACGTTCTGCCGATGTGCTTACATTACATGTTATGTCTGCAGGGCTTGAAATCCTTTTTTTGGGTTAGAAATTGCATGTTGGCCAAAAATTTACATTCAAAATTGAAGTTCAGCCTTAAGTCTTCTCTAGATGTACAACAAGTTTTATAAAAAAATCTCTAGCACAATTTTTGATATCATTTCTTAGTGAGCATTTAACTTAAAAAAGTGTAACTTTATCAAATTATACGACTTGTTCCATACTTAAACTTGCAAATGGAGTTTTTCCCCACCAATATCAGTTCATAGATGTATTGACAACGTTTTACATGTACATTGGAAAGGTGATCATTGATTATTAACTTACAAACCAAGAAAAAACAATTCTTCTTTTAACTTCCCCAAACCCACAAATTTTGGAAAAGGTGGGACATTACATCTTCCATGGTTTACAGAAGAGAAGTCAAACCCATCAGACATAGTTTTAGACATAGTTATAGTTCTAGACAGCTACCTTTATTATGTAAACTTTAGTTATTTTATACTCTATTTCATTGTTCTTTTATGTTTTGCAATAAACTTTTCATTACAATCTTTTTTGTATGGTTCGTATTAGTGTGTATCCGTATTCAGCCAACTAACTGTTGTGTTGTTCACCAGGTCATGACAAAGGCGGCCAACGCTGGCGTTGTCAAGCGCCTTCTCCTGAACATGGCGCTCAAAAGGAAGGAAGCAGCAATGAACAGGTACACATACACCAGTAGTGCTTATGGTGTGTTTGTCCATATGTTTAATCTTATCCCTGCTGCCTTACTATGTAACCAATAGAGACTGGTAGCCAAGTGGCTACTGCAGCATGCTAAAGGTTCAAGCTTATACATGTACATGTATGTATACATGTCTGTATGTATGGGTGTGTTGTTTGTGTGTGTGTGTGTGTGTTGTGTCTGTGTGTGTGCACATGCACATGCTTCATGTGTGTATATATGTCTGTCTGTTACTACTACTACTACTACTACTTTTATTCTCCTAATATAGCACTGCTGTACCTCTTCATGCTCCTATTTTTGTCTTGGAGACTGGAAAGATTATAAAGCAGTATGTATAATATAAGGGGGGTGAAGCGTGCCATTTCTGCTTGCTTTACTGCAAGAGATTTTTGTACATATACATTTGAGAATATGATTGTGTAACGTTCTGTTGTCTTCCTGACAGGGGGGTCTTCAACAACCAGACAATGTGGGACAAACTGGTCTTCAAGCCAATACAGGTACAGACAACTTTCTTAGGGATCTAAACTTGATGATGATGATGACATTTTGCGCATCCTTTTAACACACCACAGCAGCAATTTCTATCTATCTGGGCCAATATATACATGCCTTCATGCAAAATAAAAACTGTAAGATAATGTCACTTCAGGGTGTCAGCTATGTAGCAGACATATAACAGTGTAGAGCAAAAAAAGGCATCTTTTTAACTCCTTTAAGCTTATTGTATCTTTTATCAATATTCTATGACTTTGAATCGGATGTGTTTGGTCATGAATTATCCTGATGAAGGCAACAGTGGTCGTGGAAAATTTGACCCTTGTGTACAATTTGTGTTGGAAAAAGTTCAGTATTGTACTATGTTTACATTTGCCAAAAAACAGTTACTCAAGCAACTGGATATGATTTTGGAAACGGTCAGACATTTCAGGTAGCATCCACTACCTTTCGTCAGTGACACTAGAGACTTGCAGGAGAAAGGCATGTTTATAAGCATGAACTAGCACATACTATAAGTGAAGACAAAGTTTCACCTGAAACGTCTGATCATTTCTAAAATCATATCCAGTTGCTTGAATAATTGTTTTTTGGTGTATCTTATTACATGGATGTCTAACCTTCACCGGCGTATGTTTACGTTTGTTTGTTTGCTTGTTGTCAGGAGAACCTGGGAGGCCGTGTGAAGTACATAGTAACGGGTGCCGCCCCCCTATCCCCTGCCATCATGATGTTTATGAGGAGTGCCATGGGCTGCTTAGTAAGTAACAACAAACAAACAAACAAACAACTCCTCGCTTCGTCAGAACACGTAAAATAAGATATTTTGGTAACCCAAATACATGATGTACGGTAAAATTTATCGGGTAAATTCATTTACTTTTTGTAGAGACTTGATTTCATAGGAGAAGGTGATAGGAAGTTTTGCTATAAGTTTTGAGTTTGCAGTTGAAACGATTCTGCAGTACAGTAGTAATACATTGGAAAGTTTATCATATACAACCGTTACAGCATTTTCCTGAATTCTTGGTGGAGAGTATACAGCAAAAACTGCAGACATGTCATTATTTGCCAAAAAAACAGTTACTGAAGCAACTCATTCATATACCTGAGTCCAAAATCATATCCAGTTGCTTGAGTAACTGTTTTTTGGATCATATACCGGGAGGTCTAACATTTACCGATGCATCAGTATTAACAGGGATCGAAATTAAAGGTGGTCCAATGGTCACTGACCACTTAGATTTAGGCTAGGACAGCTAAACAGACACTTTGGGACATTTTTGGGACAATAGAAAAATAATCAACATCAGAATGTCAGCCCTTCTTTTGTTTATCAGGCACAGTGCCAGCTTTTGGATCCAGAAATACAATGTATCCCCTGTCTACTCTGCAATCATACTCTGCACCTGGGAGTGAACATAAGCAAAATAAAGTTGACTTTAAGTTCAAGTCATACAATGTATTCCAAAAAACAGGTTGGGACAATTCATCCTCACTTTGGACAATTGAAATTTATTTTTGGGACACTGGTGGGACAATAGGAAGAAAGGTTAATTTCGAGGCCTGATTAACTGAGGGAGGCCATATGTGTTGTTTCCTATAGGTGTTTGAGGGTTATGGACAGACAGAGACATCAGGAGCAGCTACTGTTACATTCCCAATGGACTTCAGTATTGGTGAGTCTTCTATTCATTTTTGACGTTTTGCCACATTTATGGAAGGATTGACATAACAGGTGATTATCACCTCTTCAAGATGTCAACCCTTAGACCAGACTGTAAGGTTTGAACCACTCACACCGGGAAGGTCCCCTTCTCTTTTCGATGAAGTTTGGTGGGTTTTTTGATGATCCCAAGGTGTGGCTTTCCTCAAACACGGGAACTCCGGCTTTACATCCTATCCGAGAGGATGTCCCTAAATGAAGCTAAGTGCTCATTTCCATTTGTGTCAAGTGAGGAAGTACTAGTAGGTATTAAGTGCTTTTCCCAAGAGCACAAGATTGGTGACATGACAGGGTTCGAACCTGGGACCTCTTGGAAGTCATAGGTGCCAGAATTAGTTGTCTATACAGATACTAATAATGATACAGATACAGGAACAAAAAACAGTCATGCCTTCAAATATCAGAGTTATCAACCAAGAATTGAGGTATTCAAAAACTCATATTTCCCCAGAACTATCGTAGACTGGAACTCGTTGCCACCAAGCACAGTTGGGGCATCATCACTAGAAAGCTTAAAACAACTCCTGCAATCAAATGTGCAAAGATTGAGTGTAACAAGTCATTCGGTGTGATAGAGCTAGCTGCCGCCGCGCCGCGTGCCTGCGAAGCTGGTGTGTTACGCCGAAAGGCGGTTATACTGGATATACCGATACAGATACAGATACTATACTCCTCTTAATACTCCAGGTCAAGAGTATACAGTTTTTCATGTTTCTATCCCCCCTCCTTGCAGGTCATGTGGGCATCCCCCTGGCCTGCTTGAAGATCAAACTAGACGACGTCCCAGACATGAACTACTACGCCAAAGACGGGAAAGGAGAGGTAAGAAATCAATCAAACAATCAATTGTTAACAAATAGTCAATAGTTATTTTTGTATTCTTTTACCAGGATGGCACTCTCAGTGATAACTGGGCACTAATTTTTTTTCAATACCCATTGTTGTTAATACATCTGCTTAAATATTGCCAGTGTGTGTATACATTTGACTTGAATATTTGACCTGTTCTTAATGTTGTTATTCATATTGATAAAATGAAATAAGAGATAAAACCCACCACACTTATCAAAAAGAATAGGGGTGCTTCCCAGTGTGAGTGGTTCAAAAACTTAAAGTAGTATTGAGGGCACCTACATGTATACGTTAACACCGAATTGCAGCCAACCCAGACTTTTGCATTATCCCATTGATTGTTGAAACTTATAAGCTCCTCACAGTTCATCCTTTGGTTGCAAGGAGAGAGTAGCTAGAAAGGCCGATATTTGCTTGGGAGCAAATACAGCATATTTCAGTCCATTCCCTCCCATGCGAAAGTGGACTATTCCAAACTTACCCCAGTGTAAAACTGGAAGATTCTCAAATAAATAAATCATACAGTAACTATGTAATTGAGGACAAAAATGCAAGAACAAGCACTTTGAATATTAAACAATAATATATTTATGGTTAAAAAATCTAGCAAAAAAATAAGAGCAAATATAGTAACGCTATTTATGAAACTGTTCTCCCATTCTCAGATCTGTGTGAAAGGGGCGAACGTGTTCAAGGGTTACCTGCACGAGCCAGAGAAGACAGCGGAGACAATAGATGCCAACGGATGGTTACATACAGGCGACATCGGTGCATGGACTCCAGTAAGTGTCATTATAAACCTCACTCACTTTTCTGATAACGTCTGGAAAATGTAGTGCCCAGACTACTGATAATATGTAAAGATGATGCTCTTCTGTTCTGTAGCCTCCATAGCATGCCAAAAACAGGGGGTTTGGGGGGTTTTCAGGGTCTTTGGGAGCTTTTATGTGCTATTTTCTCATTGCATATAGACAACATAGCCGGCCTGGTTGAATTACCCCCGTTTTAGAACTGAGCTAATCAGAAAATAGCCGAAGACCACCAAACCCCCAGTTCTATAAGCCTGCTACGGAGGCTATGTTCTGCAGCTCAGTGTTATTGTAATAGCCTCTGGCTGCAATCAGTCTTTTTCTCTTGTTCTGCAAGTTCTTGGAGTTTAGTGACAGTTCTTAGCCTTTGACTCTCCTCCTTTTCACCTCGTGAAATTGTGTTTTAATTTTTTTCTTTTACGTAAGATTTAAGAATAATGTCTGTAGTGACCACCTGTCCACATAGACCAGATTTTGTCAATCTCTTCTTTGTTTTTGTGCAGTTTGGACTGTATGTGAATAAATTTTATGTCCTTCTCTTACAGCAAGGAACTCTGAAGATCATTGACAGGAAGAAACATATCTTCAAACTTGCTCAGGTGGGAAGACAAGTCTCATCCTATTATTATATTTACATTTAGGCCATGTTGATTTGATTACATGTATATGGATGACATCCTCTGGGAACCCCGAAACTGATGCGAGCGTATGTTTGGCGAAAAAAAGTTTCCTTCATTATGAAATCTACACAATACATGGTCTTGAAGGTTGAAGAAATGAATAAATAAACTTGTTCTACATGTATACAGAAGAGATTGTATTATCGCAGACACAAGCTTGTAACTGACACAATTTCCCCTGTGCATTCTGTTCCGCTAAACAGAATGCACAGTGATAGATAAGTGTAGATATTAGACTTGTTATTCAGTTATTCTGTTTACCAACTTGCCATTACACTGTGGCCATCACAGTTGTGGTGCAGTAAAGTTGATTGATTGGTTGATTGGTTGATTGATTGGTTGATTGATTGATTGATAGATTCTGTATCAGTATAGCCGGTATAACCGCCCTTTGGTGTAACACACCAGCTTCGCAGGTTACGCTTATAGTTCTTGGGAAAAATAAGTTTTTTAGCACGTCAATTCTTGGTTGATATTCTTGGTTTCTTGTTCTTTTCTGATTGATTGATTGATTGATTGACTGATTGACTGATTGATTGATTGATTGATTGATTGATTGATTGATTGATTGACTGACTGACTCACTGACTGACTGACTGATTGATTGATTGATTGATTGATTGATTGATTGATTGACACCTCCAGGGAGAATACATTGCCCCAGAGAAGATAGAAGGTGTGTACCTGCAGAGTCCACTGGTGGCACAGGTGTTCGTGCATGGAGAGAGTTTGCAGGTGAGCAGGCACAATATCTCACCGTCAGACCAGAGGAGGCACTGGGCGTATCCCACAATACATTGAAGTTTCTGAACATATATCCGGTTGACCGCAAGTTCTATGATCAGTTAAAGGTATGGCAACATAGGAGCAGGATCAGAGCTATGTTGCTGCGTCTACAACATTGTTTGCGACAAGGAGCTCGCTCTACAACCCCGGGTCTGCAGGGGGGTCACAGGGAACTCTGAAATACGCCTGCTGCCTCCTCTGCTGTCAGACTCACTAGGCTTCCTCTCTTGAAACTGAAAAGCTTGTGGCTATAGAATACTGTAATAGTTTTCTAGATTGTTAAGCCAAGCTTATATGTTGCTGTAATGTTTTGTCTTGTCAGAAGGGCAAGCCCTTTGTAATAGCCACAGGTTAGTTGGTTGTGTGGATTGTACAGCCAAACCAATAAATAACAAATAAACAGGAGAGAACCATTTGCAGTGTTCGAAATACCTGTCTGCAGTCTGCAATCTGCAGATGGATTTTCAAGATTGCAGAAGAAAAATTTACACAATCTGCAATTTTGCAGAAGGAAAAATAGGCTCCAGGTTCTCAAGTTTTCAATCTAGCAAAGTACCTCAGGCCCCAAAGACAGACAACACTTTAAAGCTTAAACACTGTTCTGAAACAACCAAGAGCTTCTTCACTTATTTGCATCATCATTGTCTTGACTTGTCTATCTTTTGTTTCCTTTTGGACTTCAAAAAATTTGTCTTCACTAATTTGCATATGAATCAATAGTTCGTGCTTATAAACCTGCAATTCTCTTAGTGCAGCATATAGATGATGTAAAAAAGGCATTATTGGTTTGAGAAGGTTGTAGTATGGAGCTAGTATATATTTTGCAGAAAGTATTTCCAAATTGCAGAACAAAATTTTGACTCTTCTGCAATATTGCAGAGCACTGAAAAAAAGTATTTCGACCACTGATTTGCCATTCTCAGAGCTACCAATACGAGCTCAGGATTCTCTGTCACTATGGAAACCAGTCCTCACAGCCTCCAACACTGACAGTAATTGGTCCATGTTAAACATGCGTAAATTAAAGGATTACAGTAGATGACTAGCTATCGTCATCCAACTTCTACATGTAGAGGCCTGACCAATGGAAGGGCTTCTAGAGGCATGATGTAGTCAGGCTACTACAGAAGATGTGTTTACTATAATTGCTTGTACGAATTGCTACTAGTTGTACTCTGTAGGAAGAAGTAAATGGATGAATGCTCAAAAAGAGGAAAAAGAAAAGATGTACTAGGAAAACACCTGTGTCCCTTCTTGTTGTTCCAAGGCCTGCCTGGTGGGAGTGGTGGTGCCTGGTGAGCAGACCTTCCCTCAACTGGCATCTTCCAAGGGTATCACAGGGGACATGGCAGAGCTCTGCAAGAATGCGGTAGGTTTCCTTCTACTTGTCAAGGGACAACAACTAGTTACTGTAGACTTTCGAAAGCCTATATCTCATTCATTTTTGTAACAACAGAAGTAGTGATATTGTGTATGTAGGTACATGTACATGTACACATCGATCCATATCTGACATTACAGGCATAAAGAGTTAAAGTGGTACTGTGAACACTGTAGTAGTACATGGTCCATTGCTTCTCATTGTGTCTGTGTGTGGCTTCTACATGTATGTTTCTGTGTATGTCTTTTTGTTTCTGTGTATTTAATTTATCTTTGTGTGCATGATGGTGTGTGTGTGTGTGTGTGTGTGTGTGTGTGTGTGTGTGTGTGTCTGTCTGTTTCCCTGATTCCCAAAAGTTGCCATGAATCATCAGACATCGGCAGTGTTGCTATTTTTTATTTTTGTCTGTTGCATTAGAAGGGTTACAAAGCAGTATGGGTGAGGGGGTGAAGTCTGCCATCTCTGATCTCCTTGTTAAAAAGAGGTTGACTCTGACACGAGTATGTTTTGCTCCTTGCAGGACCTGAAGAAGGAAGTAATGGACAGCATCACAGCGCTGGGGAAGAAATCAGGCCTGCACTCATTTGAACAGGTGAGAACTGGAACAGAAGTTATATTTATGATGAAGAATACACCAGAACATGCCAGCTAATCATCATCATCATCATCGGTCAACCGTATTGGTCGGGGTTATACCGCCCCTTACGAGGTGACATACCCTTTCGTTAGCTTAATACAAGACGGGGTTCGCCACGCCTCCGTCCGGGTGATGATGACATAATAATAATCACCATGTGTCATAATTTAATCACCATGTAGCTGATACGGAACAGAGGTTCGCCAGACCTCCATTCGGGTGATTTGAAGTGAATCACCAACTCCATACAGTAGTGTTTGGACCACCGCACACCGGGGCATGCCCCTACTCTTTTTTGAAAGGTGTGGTGGGATCTTTAACGTGCTTGGGGTGTGGCTCTCCCCAAACACGGGGCCTCCATTTAACATCCTATCCGAGGGACGTCCCTAACCGAAGCTAGGTACTCATTTCCACCTGAGTGAAGTGAGGAAAGTCGTGTAAAGTGCCTTTCCAAAGGGCACAAGATCGGTGACAAGGTGGGGTTCGAACCTGCGACCTCTTGGGTGTGAGCCAAACGCGCTACCAACTGTACCACACGACCACACGACCCCATGCCAGCTAATAGTGTTTTAGCAGACGCCCTTTTGTGTCAGTTTGATTTAGATGCAACAGGCAGGTATGTAATTGTATGTGATTTGGAGGGATTTGCACATTGCTATTACTGGAGGATAAAAATAACAGGCTACGAGTTTCTCCACCCAAAAGCGAGGGCGTGCAGACATCCCTATTCGTGCGAATATTGCCGCCCTTGTGCAGGGCAGTGCACACGTAGGTGAGGAACCCTGCAAATCTCTCCACACTTTTATAGTGTAATCTTTGTCACAACAAATGTCAAAACTAACGTTATAACCAGTCAATCTCTCAGAAAGGACTAAATATATATTTTTCAATTTTAAATTTCTTTTATCAATAGATATTGGAAGTTTATTTCTTATGTTTTTTAAGAATTATTCACAACTGTTACTTACAACACACTGAATGTAAATGAATACCTACTCAATTCGGACTCTGTATGTCTGCAGTGTGATGTCTGCAATTACAGTCAAACCTATCTATAGTGGTCACTCAAGGGACTGGCCAAATCTGACCACTATGGCCAGGTGACCTCTATAGAGAAACAGCCGGTTAGTTCGACCCCCCCCCCCCACCAAAAAAAAGTGACACATGCTTTCAGTACCAACAGAGATGTCTTTATTCTGAAACATATGAAAACATACATTGCACCTTTTTAGGTGTACATGTTATAGTTCAATGCAGGGCGCGAAATTAACATTGTCCCAGTGTCAAATGACACTAAATTTTCAGCTCGGGACAATTCAAATTACATTTCGGGACAATTTCGGGGCAACTGAGACCGTCCATGTCATTTAGAAATGCAATCCATCCATGCAGCCCATAATATTCAAATTTATGTTCAAACATTTAAATTTGACCAATCAGGGATTCTAGGGGGGCCTCAAAGATGGTGCCATGCCCATGATACTATCATGTTGCACAAATTCAGTTGTCGTTGTTTTCTTATTGTTGTCATAAAGTTATTTCCTGAAAAGCAGGCTGTGACAGTCCATCCTCAGTTCGGGACAATTGAAATCTATGTTTGGGACAATTCTGGGACAATAGTAAAAACGGTTAATTTTGAGGCCTGCAATGTATACAGATTTCAAAGATTTGTCTAAAAAATTTTCTCTTTTTCTTCTCCCCACAGGTGAAAGACCTTTACCTGTGCCCAGAGCCCTTCTCAGTAGAGAATGGACTCCTCACTCCCACCTTCAAGTCCAAGCGGCCGCAGCTGAAGGATTTCTTCAAGAACGAGATCACAGAGATGTACAGCAAGCTCACGTAAAATCACAACGTGATGATTGACAGCTGTCAATTAGGGTAATCAACCTTCTGCCTCAAGTTTTGCATCACATGACTGCTTTTGTCTGTATCACAAAAAAAGTTCTGATTTCTTTTTGCTATGAGGAAATCCTTATATAAGGCCACACCAATTTCATTTGTTGGTTCTCGAATTCGCCTCTTCATCTTTTCCTGATTTGCAAAAAAAAAAATATTCTGGTTCTGAATCAGCTCAAAAATACTCATATTTTGCCCCAAACAGTTGAAGAAAGTCCTTTTGTTTTTAGTTGTTACAGTTTTTCCATCTATCAATGCAGTGGTTTGATTAGAAATTAAAAATTCATTGTTTGGATATTAACCCAGCCTTTTGTGTTGACTTCATGGCTCCCATCATAGAATTTAGGGCTATAATAGTCCCTTTATATTTTTTCTGAAAAAATCTGAGAACCAACAAATTAAATTGGTATAGCCTAAGAGTACTTTACTTTTGAGTTTAAGGTTGCTCTAGTGTGTCTTTTTCTCAATGTAAATCTCAAATTGAAGTCATTAAATTTGTAGGACGGTGTCTGTGTTAGGGAATCCTAGAACCTTGGGCTAAAATGAAATAAAAGAAAAGGGAAACCATTTTGCCAGACACTTAAAGATGTCTCTTGGTTATCAACATAAGCAAAACTTTGTATGTGATGAATTCATGAAGTAAGAATTTAGCTATATTTCAACACCTCTTGCTTCCTAGTTACTTTGTTCATTAGATATATCCTAGCTTTGTCATTGACACATGTTTAATATGTGCTACATTATAATGATCTCCCATACTGTTATGAGTATAGATAACTGCACTGGGTTTAAAATATATTCTATTTACCTGCATTTGTGCAGGTGAAATTACCTAGTTAACATGTCATTTATTGACTGAATTATATTTTCTGACATGAATTGATATGGAGGTTCAAATGCTTCACATAGACTTTAAGCCATAAAACCTTGTATTTGATAGGTAGCATTCAATTTATTTCAAATTTCTAGTTGTTGTATGAAACATGAAGAAATGTTGAAATACCTTATTGCTTGGGTTTATATGACAATGACAATGACAATGACAATGACAATGAACTTTATTGCATATTCACGCCCTGCATGGGCCAAATGCACTAAGCTGGATAACTATAGGTACAGGTATAGAGGAAGCAAGTGTTATACTTCTGTGTTATAACTATAGGTACAGGTATAGAAGAAACAAGTGTTATACTTCTGTGCTATAACTACAGGTACAGGTATAGAAGTAACAAGTGTTATACTTCTGTGCTACGTCTCTAACTACAGGATCTATCTACATGATCTCCTCTCTCTTTTTGAAACATGTATGAACAAATTTGCATAGCTTTTCATTTACATCGTAGTGCCTGGATGTCATAATATATTTGAACAGTTCTGCTTTTGACAAGTGTAGGGTTATGAAATGGCAATGCTCTCAATGCAATACATGTACACTTCTATGTTGTCTTGTTATGCCACAGGTTAGGCCTAGGAAAAAATGCTATGTTGCCGATTTCCCTAACCCTAGGGCCACACCGATTTAATTTGTTGGTTGTCGGATTCACCTCTTTATTTTTTTCTGAGTTGCAAAAAAAGAAAAGAAAAAGATCTGGTTCTGAATCAACTAAAAAATGCTCATATTTTGCCCCAAACAGTATGTCCAAGTTGTTACAGTTTTTCCATCTATCAAATATAATGCAGTGGTTTGATTAAAAGATCAAAATTCATTGTTTAAGTATTAACCCATCCATTTGTGTTGACTTCATGGCTCCTAGTGTAGCACATGCCTAGACCTGTTTTTATTTTTTTGCTCTGTCGCTTCATATTTTTTATGAAAAAATCTGAGAACCAAGAAATTAAATTGGTGAGGCCTAGCCTTTTTTTTATCGACTGCTATAAAATTTTTGATCTGACATCTGAGTTTCAAACCCTCTCAAATGTCATTTAATGCATTCTCAGAAAAAAATGTCTTCAGTAAACTGGAAATTGGTTAACATATTAATTTTTCTAGGCCTTACTTACAACATATTGTTCCTTTTACACCTATGTTACGATGCTTGTATATTACGCTTGCAATGATGGAATTTCATCAACCTTTTTCTAACCAGTCTTAATCTCCAAGCAGATGTTGGGTGGACTTTTGTGAAGTTTCTGACTGTTTGGATTTTCTGACAGTTCTCTACCCAAGTTTATGGTCCATCTGACTTTGCAATCATCCACCAAATATTACTGTATTTCACTCTTGTTTGGTCTGTACTAATCATAGGAATATTAATATATAGTCTGGGGAACAGGATTAGAAATCAAGAAGGAATGTGTTGGAGGGTGTAAAAATACAAAAAAAACTAGAGAAGTAACATTTGCAAAGCAAATGCATAATGTTTACCTTCGGACATGGTCTGCTCTGTTAATTCTTACTCAAACACATTCACATACATGTACTACTTAGTACAGGAGCAGAGCAGACCATGAAATTGCAACATTATGTAACCCAACACCAGTCACCATGGTGACAGACATCAACAAATCATGTCATTGGTCAGGTCAGAGGTCACTGTTTGGAGAAGAAGAAGAGGAAGAAACGGAGCAAAAACAATATGTTTTCCTTCGGTAAACATAATGCCTAGAAAGCTCAGTGGAATTATGAAAGAAAATGGCTGAGTTACATAACATTTTTCACAACACTCACCCCCACAACTCTTCCTGGTGTAACTAGGTTTAGGTACAAACTTTTTTTGTAAATCTAACAAGAATGTAATTCGTTGTATCTCATTGCACAATACATAATGTTATAAAATAATGGTTTAGTTATAATTGACTAATTGAATGACAGAGTCTTTACTTCAATGTTTAATAGATAATACTAATAATGTTATGAATTTACTAATTCAGTGAATTGATGTACATTTAGAAATGTTCCGCACATTTTGCAGGTTTTCATCGTTTGCAATAAGGGAGGTCTGTGCATGGTGAATTAATGCAACTAGCTTGAGTTGTTCAGTATTCAGCCTGGTTTATAGGAGATATTCTCCCTCCATTCTCTCCCCGCACAAAAAATATTGATTACATGATATTTTGGTGATTTGTTCACAGATATTTCACAAAGTTTAATAAACAGTCAATGAGTTACAGAGTTAGAGTTACATTGAATGTTATTAAGATTGTTTTTTTTTTCAGCACTTTACAAGCTTATGTATGTGTGACTGCATACATGTAGATGTTTGTTGATGTATATGTGTGTGTGTGTGTGTGCATGTTTGTGTGTGTGTGTCTGTGTGCATGTTTGTGTGTGTGTGTGTTTGTGCATGTTTGTGTGTGTGTGTATGTTTGTGTGTGTGTGTGCATGTTTGTGTGTGTGTGTGTGTTTGTGCATGTTTGTGTGTGTGTATGTTTGTGTGTGTGTGTGTGTGTTTGTGCATGTTTGTGTGTGTGTGTGTATGTTTGTGTGTGTGTGTGTGTGAACCTCTCTATCTAGAGGCCATTCGGTAACCAGGGAGTCCTTTACGAACGAACCATTACGTTGATATGTGCTGAGTAGATATGCTGGGTGAAACATAGGCAAATTGGGTGTAAACATTAGCGTTTAAAGTAAAAATAGCGCAAACAACTACTGAACCAATCGTAGCAACGTCTTCTATATACAAATGTATGTCTATATGATGTCTTCACAGCTAAGTGTTTTTTGGACTATTGGAACTGATATTAAAAACAAAATCAAGAAAATGTGTTCAGTACGTTGTACATGTATAAACGAAAAATGAAGCAAACATAAATAAAACACATAAGCTTTCATTATTTGTTCCATTTTTTTCACCAAAGCCTTTCTAAAAGGGTACGATTCATACCTCAGAAGTTTGCGACGCTGCAAAATGAAGTTTAAGCGCGCCAAAAACGTGACCAAATTTGTAAACCCCTTCCGAGCCTTCAAAGTTTGCCTATTCGCGAAAAGCCGACATGTGGGATTGAAAGACACGGCGTTTTCTGAAGGCCCGAAATTAGGCTCTCTTGGGGGTTACCATTTGATACCGGATAGGGACACAAATTTTCATGGCTTTTTTGTTGAAAATTCGACAGGTCGGTCGTATATTATAAATACCACTCTGATATCTGACCCATCGAACGCTCGTTTTATTGTAATTTTTCGGTCCGCTCACGGTGTCGCCGTTTGCAGAAGTTTCGATTCCGTGAACACCGTTGGTGGGGCACATTACGCTCAAATCACGTCTTGAAAGTAACGTTGGTACTGTGTAGACTTTCTTATGAGAACTGTATCTTTGTAAGGAGAATGTATTCTTTATTCAACGTGAAAATGATATTCAAAAAAGAAACGGAAAGCTTGAAAGTTCAAAGTTTGCTGCTACTATGATGCCATCCTTTGGAGAAAAAATCGGCTAAGGGGAACATCATTGGTCAGAGGAGTTGACCCTCTATGGCCAGTCAACTTCTCTGACCAATGATGTTCCCCGGAGCCGATTTCTACTATTTATTCAGCCTGAAAAGGAGTCTGGTGGAGACTAGGTGTCACCTATGTGCTAGAAGATGTTCTTGTCGCAATCAAAAGATAAATGGGCCAAACAAAGATCATTTATTTGAATTACTAACGTGTGTTTACCTCCTAGTTGAATGATGAGTACCGTGGCCGACAAGTACAAAATTTTACACCGCAACTTTTGGTGTTTTACACCGCAACTTTTGGTGTTTTACACTGCAACTTTGGGTGTTTTACACTGCAACTTTTGCTGTGTTTTACACTGCAACTTTTGCTGTGTTTTACACTGCAACTTTTGCTGTGTTTTACACTGCAACTTTTGGTGTTTTACACTGCAACTTTTGGTGTTTTACACTGCAACTTTTGCTGTGTTTTATACTGCAACTTTTGCTGTGTGGAAAACTTACACCCCTCCCCTTTTATAATGGACGGTCCCCCTGTCAGGTCAAAGGTGACAAAGATGGCGGCGGCCTGAGAGTCACAGTGTCTAGGCTACATTTGTATACGAGCGATCGCTGTTTTTGTTTACATTATACGCATGCAAATTATTTGCAGACATATGCAAATTCTTGGTAGGCAAATCAGCCAACTGGCACCCACTTTTTGCCTACGGTGACGTCATGGCGATCGCTCGTATTGTTCCCTAATGATCGATAACTTACCTGAGTCAAGAGTCAACACTTCATAATTGAAAATAAGTCTTTATTGCTTCATAGTACCAAGTGGT